CACTTGTAAAATTATAAAACGGTTTGCTTTCAGAAATTTTACGAATTTTTAGTCACCCATTTTTATGAGAATCGTGGAGGAGGGCGGTATACAAATGAATGTGGCATTGGTCGTTCTCGACAGCTAAGTTTATGGCAATCTAAAAGGTAATTTGCTTCGAAAAATGATTAGATGTAAAAAAAATCATTTGAAATGCAATTTAATAATATCTATAAGCTTGACAGAGTTTAATAAACTTAAGTTTGTGTTGATACTTTTGTGAGTTCATTTTTAAATGGCACTCAAAGTGAAACATTATTCTTTAATGGTCAATAATTTTGCTTACAAAATGAATTTATTATAAGAAATTATGCTATAAAATCATTTGTAACGGGTTTTAAACAAAATTTAAACAATTTTGTATACAAATCTAAACGAATGATTTATTAAAATGCAAAAAAATATATTTATTGAATGCTTTCAAAGTAGCCCTACCTTGCATAAAACGACCATCGGAGTAGCATATAGCATTCAAACAAATTACCAAATATAGTTTAAGAATATAGTTTTAAAAGTCCAATTTATTTTAGCATTCATTCAAAAGAAGTTAAACTTGCTTTAATAATTTGTTAAGTATTTAAGATTTTATATTATCATTTCTGGACCCATTATAAGTTGTTAACGAATTTCCAAGGAGTCATAAAAAAATGGAGTTTGATAACTTACAAGTACTAACAAATGTATTAACAAAACTAGAAAGAGTTAGTTATTAAATAAATAATAAATTCCGAGTTTTAAACGTGTTTTGTTATGTTATAAGTAGTTTCGCATGTTTGTCTAAATAGCAGGAAAATCCATTGCTCTATTTAATTCAAGTGCTTTATTTTGTATTTTGAAAAATATAACAATATACAAGTATATATTTAAGTAAAAAATTTATTAAATAAATAACAAAATTGACTTTTTTTTGGGAAAATCATATTTTATTTATTTGTTTGAATACCAGTAATAACCATTAAATCTTATACTATATAACGTGTGTTTCGCATTCAGAAAAAACAATCGATTTTCTTGTCTAAATAGCAGGACAATCCATTGCTCTATTTAATACAAGTGGTTTATTTTGTATTTTGAAAAATATAACAATATACAAGTATTTATTTAAGTAAAAAATGTATTAAATAAATAACAAATTTTACATTTTTTTGGGAAAATCTTATTTTATTTATTTGTTTGAATACCAGTAACAACCATTAAATCGTATATAACGTGTGTTTAGTATTCAGAAAAAACAATCGATTTTCTCAATGTATATTTCTTTTAATTGAGAAAATGATAATCGCAATAGCATGATTTAATTTACTTGATGAATGAAAAATACATATACAAGTATATGACTTCATATTTATATATTTGCATTGTTATGTGAAATGCCAGGCATTTGTGTAAATAATGGAATAAATGTAAATAATCATAATATAAAACGAAAAATGCTGTATACCAAGCAATAGTTAATCTCTTTGTTAGCTATTTGTGGTCCTGAAAAGGACCGATTATTGATTTTATAATTTGGAAAATGAAGCGCTGAAATTTCAACTTATGCACGTTCACCACGAATACGTCTGGCCAATTGAATGTCCTTGGGCATGATTGTAACACGCTTGGCATGAATTGCGCACAAATTTGTATCTTCAAAAAGACCAACCAGATAGGCTTCGCTAGCTTCCTGTAATGCCATTACCGCTGAACTTTGGAATCGCAAATCAGTTTTAAAGTCCTGTGCTATCTCACGAACCAAACGCTGGAATGGCAGTTTGCGAATCAATAGCTCAGTGCTTTTCTGGTAGCGGCGGATCTCACGAAGTGCAACTGTACCGGGGCGATAACGATGTGGCTTTTTTACACCACCGGTGGCTGGTGCACTTTTACGAGCAGCTTTGGTAGCCAGCTGCTTGCGAGGCGCTTTGCCACCGGTCGATTTTCGGGCAGTTTGCTTGGTGCGAGCCATTATACAAGTATTTATTCCGTACTAATCTACTACACTGTATACACTGTCACTGATGAAAACACAATATTCGTATTGCTTGCTTTGCGCCTTCTTTATATAGAAATTTGGCCGCACAATGCGATTGGTGGTTGTTTGAACGAGATGTGCGAAAGAGAGATAGGAAGATTATCCGACTCGCTCGTGTTTTCGTGTTATTTTTGTATAAATACGAGCGTATGTGGCCGCAACAGCGTTAGTTTCGTTGTGAATTTTGTGCAGTTAAAGTAAATTAGTGAAAAATGACTGGTCGTGGTAAAGGTGGCAAAGGCTTGGGCAAGGGTGGCGCAAAACGTCATCGCAAAGTATTGCGTGATAACATTCAGGGTATCACAAAGCCAGCTATCCGTCGTTTGGCTCGACGTGGCGGTGTAAAACGCATCTCTGGCTTAATTTATGAAGAGACCCGTGGTGTGCTCAAGGTGTTTTTGGAGAATGTTATTCGTGATGCTGTCACCTATACGGAACATGCCAAAAGGAAAACAGTCACAGCTATGGATGTTGTATATGCATTAAAAAGACAAGGCCGCACCCTTTACGGTTTCGGCGGTTAAGAAGTTACATTTGCCCAAATGTGCAAATAAAGAAAACAATCGGTCCTTTTCAGGACCACAACATATATTTTTAAAAGAGAAAAATATTCAAATCATACTTTTATTTTACAAAAAGCTGTACAATCGATACTCTTCATTTATATTTTCATAATATATTGAACCTTTTCAGGACCACAACATATTTTTTTAAAAGAGAAAAATATTCAACTCATACTTTTATTTTACATACGCATATTTAAAAAAACAAACATATTGTACAGCTTACATTCCATCCATTTATATTTTCATAATTTAGGAGTAAAATATGGCAAACGTTGGCAGTGTTAAAAATTCGAGTATAAATACTTAAGTAATACATATACACTCAAGTAATTATTATACGTATTGACCAAATTCAAAAGGGATAAAAAATACTTTCGAATTAAAAATATATAATACGCATTATATACATACAAGTAGTATATTCTACGGTTCATGACATGCTGCCCGACCAAATGCTAAGCCTTCATATTTATACTTTATTCAAATTCACGTTGTATGATGATGAATTAAAATCTCTTCTGAATTAAATTGGTCGTCCTGAAAAGGACGGTTGGTTTTATATACAGTATTGTTTTTATTTATTAAAGGTTGCCGCCAATTTAAGCCTTCTTTTCGGTCTTTTTAGGTAAAAGCACCGCCTGGATGTTAGGTAGAACACCACCCTGAGCAATGGTTACGCCCGAGAGGAGCTTGTTTAACTCCTCGTCATTACGAATAGCCAGTTGCAGGTGACGTGGAATTATGCGCGTCTTTTTATTATCGCGTGCTGCATTGCCAGCCAACTCCAGAACTTCAGCGGCTAAATATTCCATAACAGCAGCCAGGTAAACAGGAGCGCCGGCACCAACACGTTCAGCATAGTTACCCTTGCGAAGCAGGCGGTGGATACGGCCAACTGGGAATTGAAGGCCAGCTCGATTCGAACGCGACTTTGCCTTTCCCTTTACTTTACCACCTTTACCACGACCAGACATTTTCTATTTTTTTTTTTTTTATTTCACAAATACACTTCTCACTGGCTCACTGGCTCACACACAAATGTTGATGTCCGACCAAGTGTTAGGCCTTTATATTTATACTTTTTTAAGCATCATATACGCTCTGCTAAGGGTTGGACGGCTTCTTATAAGTTAAACCTGAAGGCGATGTTAAACAAAAATATACAAATATGTAGCAATTCAGTGGTAGAAAAATATTGCTAAAGCAACTGTGAAGTGTTGTGTTATTTTAACTCAAGTGAATTAAATTAATCTGAAGTGAAAAATGCCGCCAAAGACCAGTGGAAAGGCAGCGAAAAAGGCTGGTAAAGCCCAGAAAAATATAACCAAGAACGACAAGAAGAAGAAGCGCAAGAGGAAGGAGAGTTATGCCATCTACATATACAAAGTTCTGAAGCAGGTTCATCCTGATACAGGCATTTCATCGAAGGCAATGAGCATCATGAACAGTTTTGTGAATGACATTTTCGAGCGCATTGCTGCTGAAGCTTCCCGTTTGGCCCACTATAATAAACGATCGACAATAACGAGTCGCGAAATCCAAACGGCAGTCCGCCTACTTCTGCCCGGTGAATTGGCTAAGCACGCCGTAAGTGAAGGCACCAAAGCCGTTACCAAGTACACCAGCTCAAAGTAAATGTCTGATCGCCCGCTTCATAGCAGCAACAACGTTCCAAAAGGCCCTTTTCAGGGCCATCAAATTTTTCATAAGCAGAGTTAATAATTTTCATACATTTCTTTTAAATAAAATTTACATGGCACCCCTTTACTGTGATAAAAAACAAAATCTATTATAATGGGCGAACATATATATTAATATAACTATTTTGGTCAATATTTATAAACAAACTATTTTTACAAATCATATCGTTCACCTATATGATATGCAGTTCTTATTGCTTGAAATCGACTGAAACAAAACAATTTTTAGTCACCCATTTTTATGAGAATCGTGGAGGAGGACCGGACCGTATACAATTCCATTGTATTTGCATCAGCTAAGTTTATCGTAATTTGCTTCGAAAAATGATTAAATTATTTATTAATTTTATTAATATACGTTTTTTTTTTAAACTTTTGTGCTCAAAGTGAAACATTTTTCAATTCTCATTATTTTTGTTACAAAATTAACTAACAAATTATGGTCTAAAACCCTTTGTAACAGTTTTAAACAAAAATTGTTAAATTTTTCATACATATACTTGTACACCTAGAAGTAATAACAAATATATTAACAAAATTAGAAAAAGATAAGATTATTTGAAACCATTTAAATCACATTTGAAAATTATTTTTTCTCTTTCTTAGTTGTTTGTAGCCCTGAAAAGGGCTTTGTTTCAAATGAATTTTTATATTTGCATATACAAAATTTCACATATGCATTCATTTCTTGACTACTGCTGTCTTTGCCTTTTTGGCGGAAGCTGCAGCCTTTGGTTTTTTCGGTGCCGATGCTGTCGTCTTTGGCTTGGCACTAGTAGTAGTAGTTTTGGCCTTTGGAGTTTTTGGTTTTACAGCACTCGATTTAGGCTTCGATGTAGTTGATTTTGCCTTAACTGTACCACTTTTCTTTGCGTCTTTTGCCTTACTTTTCTCGACGGAACTGACTTTTGGCTTTGGCTCTTTTTTAGCGGCCGCAGATAATTTAAACGAACCAGATGCGCCTTTGCCTTTTGTTTGGATGAGTTTTCCATTTGCAACAGCTGACTTCAAATATTTCTTAATGAACGGGGCCAATTTCTGGGCATCGCATTTATATGTGGCACTAATGTACTTTTTAATTGCCAAAAGTGATGACCCACCGCGCTCCTTCAAATTCTTGATTGACGCGTCGACCATTTGCTGGGTTGGCGGATGTGATGGTGGAGCTGTAGCTTTTTTCGATTTGGCGGCAGTTGCCTTCTTGACAGTGACCTTTTTCTCCGCTTGTGCAATGGCAATAGGAGAGGCGGCCGATGTAACAGCAACGATAGAATCAGACATTTCTTTTAACTTCACTTTCACACTTGTAAAATTATAAAACGGTTTGCTTTCAGAAATTTTACGAATTTTTAGTCACCCATTTTTATGAGAATCGTGGAGGAGGGCGGTATACAAATGAATGTGGCATTGGTCGTTCTCGACAGCTAAGTTTATGGCAATCTAAAAGGTAATTTGCTTCGAAAAATGATTAGATGTAAAAAAATCATTTAAAATGCAATTTAATAATATCTATAAGCTTGACAGAGTTTAATAAACTTAAGTTTGTGTTGATACTTTTGTGAGTTCATTTTTAAATGGCACTCAAAGTGAAACATTATTCTTTAATGGTCAATAATTTTGCTTACAAAATGAATTTATGTAGGTTTGAAATACAAATTAGTTTATTTGGGATGTCTTGTAGTATACATAAGTTTTAAAAGTTAAATGAGTAGTTAATATAAAAGAAATGCGCAGCACTTCCGCGAACAATACTTTAAACTGGCCTTGGCAACAACACTCACTGTCTACACTCTGACTCGCAACTCTCAAACAACTGACTTCAGCCACTCCACTCAAGCGAATGCCTTATTCTCCTCTTCTGTTCGATTTTAAGCCTATCGATACTCGCCGATGCCATATTAGACCAGGGTTGCTAAAAGGGTATTCTACTCCCGCCTTATTCCCCACATCCTACATTCGGCCTTCCTGACAATTCGTTCGTCCCGAACGAACACCATTTTTTTACAAACTCTGCGGCTGTTGTTGTTAAGTTTGGTCCCTCCTGATTGCCAACTTTTTAAACTTCATAGCGCCCATGTTTCATTATCTTCGTTACCTTATACGGTCCAAGAAACTTTGGTCTTAACTTCATGTCTGTGCCATATTGTGTTCTTTTAATCGCTACCAGTTCCCCTACTTTATAAGTTTCTTCGACTTTCCTTTTTTCGTTAAATCCCTTTCTATTCTCTTGTTGTATCTTCTCAATGTTCTCCTGTGCTTTAATCCTTACTAATTCTCGCTCTTCATTAAAAATGTCCATGTCCACTTCTTCTAGAATTTGCCTTATGTCTTCGTTTTTAGTTTTCATGTCGAGTCCTGTAAGAATTTTAAAAGGAGTGAATTTCGTGCTTCGTGGAGGTGTGCTGTTTATAATTTGTTGAACGCGATCAACATGACAGTACCAATTCGAGGGATTGCTCTGACACATTTTGGTCAACATTGGAATGACAATTCTATGAATGCGTTCTACCTGTCCGTTACCCCTTGGCATACCTGTTGTAATGTGTAGGAGTTGGATGCCCTCATTCTCACAATATTGTTTAAATACATTTGATGTAAACGCTGTGCCTCTATCAGTAACTACTCTTTTCGGGTTACCAAAAATATACGCCTGTTTTTGGAGCTTATCTATGACTTCATCTGTTCCCGTCGATTTAGTGGGATAAAGCCAAACAAATTTCGAAAAGGCGTCTACCACCGTTAAAATATGCATATATTTCTTTTTTGTACTCGTGAGAGGACCGACGTGATCTATATGATATGTTCCCAATGGATCTTGGGCCTTGTCAATAGGTACTAAAAGTCCTTCTTTTTTGCCTCGTTTTGCATCTGATATAAGACATTCAACACAACTACGGACCACTTTGCCTACTTTTTCTTGCATATTGTAAAAAAAATATTGTTTACTCAGCAAGTCGACAGTCTTCTTTGTGCCAAAATGGCCCTCGCGGTGAGCAATAGTTATAATTTCATCCTGCATGGTCTCAGGGACAACCAGCAGCTCTTTGTTAAGGTCCTTGTATAATATCACGTTTCGAACAAAATAATCTTCATAGCTGTTAGAGCTTTCCAAAACTTTTTTGACTGCCTTTATCCAATTGTCTGCCTCTTGTGTTTCCCGCAACCTATACTTTACTGACTCTTTAATTATTAGACAAGACAATCTGCTTAATGCATCAACGTGCTTCATTTGGCTTCCCGATCTATGTTCAACTTGGTAGTCAAATTCTTGCAGAAACATAGCCCATCTAGCAACTCGCACTGGTACATCGTCTTTCTTAACTGTCATCGCAAAAGCATTGCAGTCCGTCACAATTTTGAATTTTTATGCCTAATAGGTATATTCGCCACTTTTTGATTTCTGTTATAACTGCCAAGATTTCCAATTCGTAAGAACTGTACTTTTCTTCTCACGGATTTGTTTTCTTGCTCATAAATTCTATCGGGTGGAAGAGTTGATCTTCTGAGTCCATCTGCAGCAAAACAGCCCCAAACCCATGCTTACTTGCATCTGCATGCACTTCTGTTACTGCGCTCGGGTTATATAACTTTAATAGTGGAGCTGAAACAAGCAAATGCTTTAAGAATTCAAAAGCAACGAAGCCCTTTTGATCTAACTCAATTTTTCTATTATTCCCTTTTGGATTGTCTCTACGAAGCATGTCGGTTAGCGGCTTGGCCTCTAGTGCATAGCTTTAAATGAAGCGTCGTAAATATGACGTAAGACCCAAAAATCGTTGAAGAGCATTTTTGCTTTTAGGTACTGGGAAATTTACTACCGCATCAATTTTGTCCCGTGTTGGCGAAATGGTTGCGTTTTCAATAACATACCCCAAAAATTGAATTTTCTTTCTGAGATACTGTCCTTTTTCCCATTTTATACGTAAACCGGCCCTACCTGCGACTTGCAAAAACTCTTTTAGCATTTCTATACCCTCATTCTCGTCCCTTGATGGAATAATTATGTCGTCCATGTAAATAATTATTTTCTTCGCTTGCAACAGGTCTCTAAGTACAGCGCTAATATATCGACAGAATACAGCTGGTGAATTTGTAATACCAAAGGGTACGTGTGTGAACTCGTACTGGCCATTGTGGGTTACAAAAGCTGTAAATTTTCTGGATTCGTTTTCTATGGGTACGTGGAAAAATCCGTTTGTAAGATCTAGTGTGGTAAACACTTTCGAACCCTGTAAGCGATCTAACACGTCATCAATGAGCGCCATTGGAAAATTGTCTTTTTTCATTTTTAAGTTTAACTTCCTATAGTCGCAGCAGAACCTCTTCGACCCATCTTTTTTCGACACTAGCACAACTGGAGCAGCATATTCTGAAGAGCTTGGTACTACGATTCCCTCATCTAACCATTGCTGAACTTGTTTTTCAATAATCATTCTGTTTAAATACGAAGTCCTGCGAGGGTGGTGAAAAACTGGAAAGTCATCTTCTAGAACTATCTTCATTTTAACTAGTGACTTAATGACCTTTTGGGGAGAGTAATTGTTTATCAACCCCTCTACTACAAGCTTCTGTTCCTCCTTCAGGTGACTTAAATCGACCCTGTCTGATGCCAATCGTTCCTGTGACATTTCCTCAACACACATTCCACTAAACACGTTTGCAGATTCTTTATTTCTACCTTTAAACTTGACCCCTTCTGCGCTGAATGTTATGTCAAAAGACTTTAGAACATCTTTCCCGATTAACACCAAAACATAAATCCTCGACCTCTACATCAGTTGTGAAATACCCTATAGTAGTTAATTCGCCCTTGCCTATGCCTCGTAATTGTTTACTGTCCTTCACCAAATTCTCTCCTTCCAATCTTCCCACTAAATCTTCTCTCATAAGACACAAATCGCAGCCAGTATCGACCATCGCTAAAAACGGCATGACAAACTGTTTATAGGTTAAGTCTTTTCCCACTGATTTTAATCCGGCAAACGCAACTTGCTCTTTTTTTTTTACTTTTTTTTAACAATTTTTGGCGATGTGGCCCGGCTTGTTGCAATTATAGCATGTTGATGGTTCCTTGCATTCCCTTGCCTGATGACCTTCTTTATTGCATTTAAAGCATCTCCTAGTATTTTGTCCCTGTCCTTTTTTCATTACAATTTCTTTGTTTCCACCCTCGATCTTTTCGTAGAGCTTGATTTCCCTTTTAAATCTTTTATAGTTTTGCAACGATAAAGACTTGCCTTGTTGGATTTTGTGTCTGGCACACCATCGGCAAAGTAAGAGATCAAGCTCTCATCATCGAGTTGAATTTGTTTCCCCATCTCAATCAGGCTGTATAAATATTCGGTCAAAGTCTCTTTCGGTAGTTTTCGTCTTTTCCTTAGCAAACTGTGTACCTCAGCTGAGCTCAATTTCTGGCCAAATTCAGATTTAAGATTTGCCTTCAATTGTGTCCAACTGCGGGCTCCAGTCAATCCTCTTGTAAACAATTTTGCTGCCCCAATCAATAGCTGTTTGGCGTAAATAAACTTTTGGAGGTCATCCCATCGCACGGTTATGGCTACATCTTCAAATTCTGAAATCCACTGTTCTACGTTTGGCTGACTTGTGCCAGAAAAAGCTGTAATGCTATCCTGCACGTCGCGCAATGTAAAACGTGAAATGCTGTTATTACTATGTACATCTTCATACACGCTTGCCTGTTCTGATTTGTCTTCCTCTACATCTAAATCAACCTCCTCCAAATCATAGTGGTCCAACAATCTATCCTGCAACACACTTTTTCTGCCCACTGTACTAAGTTTAAGCTCTTTTAAATGCTGCCGCAACTCTTCTACTTTCAATGACATAATTGTTTTCGAATCCATTATTGTTTGCGCAAGTACTACTGCTTTGTACAACAAAATATTTTCTTAAATTATGTTAATTTACAAAATTAATGGAGGCTTCACCTCTCATTAAAAGAATTGACAAAATTTTAAGTTTTTTTTTTTTAAATTGTTAGGCGCCTGCACATACACTCACCAATACCGCGTTCTCTGGTATTTGGATTTGCCTACCGCTTGTACTGCTGCTCTCCACTGTTTCAAACTGTTTCTACTGCTTGCTGTTGTTTGTATGCAGTTTCTCACTGCCTGCGTCCCGCGTCGCACTTCCCACGCTGCGCTGCTTGCAAACTGCTTGGCGGCCGTTAACTTGCTACACAGCGATATTTTGTTGCGCTATACTTTTTTACGATGCTTATTGCTAACGTAACCCAGTATGTATGTCACAGCTTGCAGATA